ATGCATTCCGAACTGAACATGCATGTCACAATTTGTGGAATACAACTAAACCAGTGCTGCGAGGGGAATGTGGAGCTTTCCATGAATATATTAGAAAAGAAGAACGACTTAAGATCGATAATCTGGCCGGGCACGGTGGCTCATGCCTATAATCCCAGCACTTTGGGAAGCCAAGGAGGGCGGATCACTTGAGTTCAGGAGTTTGAGACCAGTCTGGCCAACATGGCAAAAAACTGTCTGTACTGAAAATACAAAAATTAGCCAGGTGTGGTGCACGCCTGCAACCTCAGCTACTTGGGAGGCTGAGGCAGGAGAATCGCTTGAACCCAGGAGGCAGATGTTGCAGTGAGCTGAGATTGCACCGGTGCACTTCAGCCTGGGTGACAGAGCGAGACTCCATCTCAGAAAAAAAACAAAAAAAAAAAGATAAATAATCCAAGGTTTCACCTTAAGCAAGTAGAAAAAGTGAATCAACGCCAGGCGTGGTGGCTTACACCTGGAATCCCAGCTCTTTGGGGGGCCAAAGTGGGCGGATCACGAGGTCGGGAGATCGAGACCATCCTGACTAACACGGTGAAACCCCGTCTCTACTAAAAATAAATAAATAAAAACAATTAGCCGGGCAATGGTGACGGGCGCCTTAAGTCCCAGCTACGCGGAAGGCTGAGGCAGGAGAATGGTGTGAACCTGGGAGGCAGAGCTTGCAGTGAGCCGAGATCACGCCACTGCACCCCAGCCTGGGCTACAGAGCGAGACTCTGTCTCAAAAAAAAAAAAAAAAGAAAGAAAAAGTGAATCAAATAAAACTCACAGTAAGTGGAAGGTAGAAAATTAAGAGGAGGTCAGCGCACTTGTATACAGACATCAACATCAATAGAGACAAATCAACAGAGCCCAAAGTTAGTTACAAGAAAGTTAATAAAATTGGTAAATCCCTAGCAAGCCTGATCAAGAAAAATACTAGAGAAAACACAAATTCTCAGAAACCAGAACAAAAGAGAGGGCATCACTACAGATGTTTCAGGCAGGAGAAGGAATTAATAACCAAAACCTTCCCACAAAGAAAATCCTGCACTCTGAGGGTGGCACTGGCAAATCCTAACAAATATCTAAGGAAGAAACAATAACAAGCTTTCACAAACTCTTTTTTTTTTTTTGAGACGGAGTCTCACTCTGTCGCCCAGGCTGGACTACAGTGGCGCGATCTCGGCTCTCTACAAGCTCCACCTCCCGGGTTCACGCCATTCTCCTGCCTCAGCCTCCTGAGTAGCTGGTACTACAGGCGGCCGCCACCACGCCGGGCTAGTTTTTTGTATTTTTAGTAGAGATGGGGTTTCACCGTGTTGGCCAGGATGGTCTCGATCTCCTGACCTTGTGATCTGCCCGCCTCAGCCTCCCAAAGTGCTGGGATGACAGGCGTGAGCCACCGTGCCTGGCCCACAAACTCTGAAAACAGAAGAGGAGGGAATACTTGCTTGCCCATTTTATAAAACCAACATAACCCTACCACACAACCTGCCATCGGCATTGTAAGAAAATTACAGACCAGGACCTCTAACGGACATCAACCCAAAACATTCCTAACCACACTATTACCACATCAGTACCACAACACAGGAAAAAGGATCACACACTTGGAATAAATGACAACTAGGCTGGTTCAACATTCAAAACAACCAGTGTGGTCCAGTACATTGAGACTCTGTCGCAAAAAAAATAACAAGATAAAATAAAATGGATCCTGGCCCTAAACGCAAAAGCCTACCCTGTGAAGCATCGAAAAGAAAACACAGGAACTGGCCGGGCGCAGCAGCTCACGCCTGTAATCCCAGCACTTTGGGAGGCCGAGGCGGGTGGATCACCTGAGATCAGGAGATCCAGAACAACCTGGCTAACATGGTGAAACCACGTCTCTACAAAAAATACAAAAAATGAGCCGGGCGTGGTGGCGGGCGCCTGTAATCCCAGATACTCAGGAGGCTGAGGCAGGAGAATTGCTTGAACCCAGGAGGTGGAGGTTGCAGTGAACCGAGATCGCACCACTGCACTCCAGCCTGTCCAGCCTGGGCGACACAGCAAAACTCTATCTCAAAAAAAAAAAAAAAAAAAAGAAAGAAAACACAGGAACTTCCACAATTAATTCCTAATTTACAAAAAATAAAAGAAAACACGGAAGAAATCTGCAGAAATTTGGTCAAGGGATGACTTCTAGTCACAGGATACCAAAACCCTAAACCATAAAAGAAAAACACATACAAATGGACATCATCAAAATTGATTTCCACTTATCAAACCACAGTGACGGAGGCCGGACTCAGTGACTCAGGACGCAGTGACTTAGTCCATCATCCCAGCGCTTTGGGAGGCAGGTGGATGACCTGAGGTCAGGTGTTGGGAACCAGCCTGGCCAACATGGTGAAAACAGGTGGATCACCTGAGGTCAGGCATTGGAGACCAGCCTGGCCAACATGGTGAAACCCCATCTCTACCAAAAATACAAAAATTAGGCCGGGTGCGGTGGCTCACGCCTGTAATCCCACCACTTTGGGAGGCTGAGATGGGTGGATCACTTGAGGTCAGGAGTTTGAGACCAGCCTGGCCAACATGGTGAAACCCCGTCTCTACTAAAGATACAAAAAATTAGCTGGGCATGGTGGCGCGCGCCTGTAATCCCAGGTACTGGGGAGGCTGAGGCAGGAGAATCGCTTGAACCCTTGAGGCGGAGGTTGCAGTGAACTGAGATCGTGCCACTGCACTCTGGCCTAGGTGACAGGGTGAGACTCCACCTCGAAAAAAAAAAAAATTTAGCCAGGCGTGGTGATGCGTGCCTGTAGTCCCAGCTACTCGGGAAGCTGAGGCAGTAGAATGGTTTGAACCCCGGAGGCAGAGGTTGCAGTGAGCCCAGATCGCGCCATTGCACTCCAGCCTGGGGGACAGAGTGAGACTCCATCTTCAAAAAAAAAAAGACAGTGATGCATATGCATTGACAAGCCACAGACTGGGAGAAGAGCTGGCCAGCCCACACACCCAAGTCTCTCTATAGACAACCCCCAGCCACCCGTAAGGACATGTCCTGTCCACTAGGGGCCCTGGGAAGATATGGCCACTAGGGAAGAAATGGCCACTAGGGGCCCTGGGGAAGATGTCACGTAGCCCAGTCGGAGCCTTCCTCTACACTGTTTTCCTTTTCTTTTCTTTTATTTATTTGAGACGGGGTCTCGCTCTGTTGCCCAGGCTGGAGTGTAGTGGTATGATCACAGCTCACTGCAGCCTCGACCTCCTAGGCTTAACCAATCCTCCTGCCTCAACCTCCCGAGGAGTTGGGATGACAGACGTGTGACCACCAGGCTAATTTTTAATTTTTTTTTGTAGAGACTGGGTCTTGCTGCCCAGGATGGTCTTGAATTCCAAGCCTCAAGTGATCGCTCGTCCCGCCTCTGCCTCCCAAAGTGCTGAGATTACAGGCAGAAGCTGCTGTGCCTGGCCCCAGGGTTTTCTTAAAATAAGTTTAGGAACCAGAACACAGATGGCTATAAACTATATGACTTCATTTATAGGATATTCTCAAAAAGACAGAACTGTGGTGATGAGGCCGGGTGCTGTGCTCACGCCTGTAATCCCAGCACTTTGGGAGGCGGAGGCGGGTGGATCACCAGGTCAGGAGTTCAAAACCAGCCTGACCAACATGGTGAAACCCCGTCTCCACTAAAATACGAGAATTAGCCGGGCACGGTGGCTCGTGCCTGTCATCCCAGCTACTCAGGAGGGTGAAGCAGGAGAATTGCTTGAACAATTCGGAGGTTTCGGTGAGCCGAGATCGCACCGCTGCCCTCCAGCCTGGGTGAAAGAGCGAGACTCCGTCTCAGACAAACACACAAACAAACAAAAACTGGTGATGAAGGGCCGACAATGTTGCCAGAGGTTAGGGGTGGCCACCAGTGTTGGGAATTCACAGGTTTGCAGTGACGGGGCCGATGGGTCTGACCGTGGTGGTAACAGAACCACACCCCTCCATACACATGGCTTTTACTGTGTGATAATTTAGAAAAAAGCAAACCACGGACCCAGGCTCAGGTGGCCCCCACCTGGCTGGAGAGATTTCCCACTAGACTCTCACCCTCTCTCTGGGCCCCAGTGTCCTCATCAGGGAGGGGCAGGAAAACCCCACCCACCATTCGCTCCTCACTCTGTTGGCCCCTGGGCAGATGGGAAAGGCTCCTGCTGGCTGGGGGCCAGGCCAGGCCAGCTGGGGCCAAAGTCCAGGAGCCAGGCTGAGAGGCTCCAGGATCCTCCTCAAGAGGGCAGAGTCCTGTAGGCTTGAACCACAACCGGGAGCCCGGCTCGTACCCAGGCTTGGACCACAGCCGGGAGCCCGGCTCGTACCCAGGCACAGGGACCTTTTCTTTTTCTGTTTTTTGTTTTTTTTTTTGAGACGGAGTCTTGCCCTGTCCCCCAGGCTGGAGTGCAGTTGCATGATCTTGGCTCACTGCAACCTCCACCTCCGGGGTTCTAGTTCCAGTGATTCTCTCCTGGCTCAGTCTCCCAAGTAGCTGGGACTACAGGCTCCCGCCACCACGTCTGGCTAATTTTTGTGTTTTTAGTAGAGATGGGGTTTCACCATGTTGGTCAGGCTGGTCTCAAACTCCTGA